TTTCCCAGCTCGCCAAGCTGTTCTCTAACAAATTTGCAAGCCAAAGGGAGATCAAGCGCACAGCTACTGAGCTGATGCAAGTTAGCCAGAAGGAAGGGGAATCTTTGAGGGATTACATGCAGCGGTTTAACAAAGCCACATTGGACATTGATAATGTCCCAGACACGATCTGCCTGTCCGCCCTGTTACATGGGTTGAAGCGTGGCCGGTTCTTAGATGACTTGCTTGAAAACCCACCGAAGACGTGGAACGAGGTGAATGACAGGTCGGCCAGCTTTATACTGTCAGAGGAGTTTCAGTCGTCCAAACGACGAGCTGATGATAAGCCAAGCAGAGGCCAAGAACAACAACCGAAAAGAGAAGAAAAGAAGAAGCAGAAGGTCGGTGAGCAATGGGGGAAACCAGCTGAGTTCCCGAAATATGCCAGTTACATTCCTTTGACCTTACCCAGGTCTCAAATCCTGGCACAAATTCAGCACTGGGTTCGGAGACCTCCACCCCCACTACATGATTCCCCGAGGGCAGATAAGAGCAAGCATTGCGACTACCACCGTGTATATGGTCACAATACAGAGGACTGCCAACACTTGAAGGACGAGTTAGAGTTTTTAGCTCGTAACGGGAAGCTAGAAGGGTATGTTCAGAAGCCTCACACCCAGCAACCCACTCAAACCCATTTTGTACAGGCGTATAACCGACCTCAAGGACAGAGGTACCAGCATGGAGGGACGCAGGATGCATATCAGGATAACCAGTATCCTTCTGAACAGGGCAGAGCATACCGAGGACGTCCTTTCAACAGGAGAGGGCAGGGACCGAGAACTACCGCCCCGAATCAAAAAGACAGGAAAGGGGTAGGTTACGCTGGGATACCCCCACCTTCTGGTACAATAAACATGATATCGGGTGGTGTTCACTCAGGGGGCCAAAGCGCCCGAGCTCGCAAGGCATATGCCCGACAAGTGATGACCGTCAACAAAAATAGACCCTTGAAACGGCCGTTTGAGGAAGTAGAATGGGAAAATACGCCCATCACATTCAGCCCGACAGATTATAAGCGAGCAGAAAGAGAGCCCGACATTATGATGCCCCATGCAGATCCCTTTGTGGCAACTGTTCATATAGGCAATCATAATGTCAATAAGGTGTTTATTGACACTGGCAGTTCACCGGATATCCTATACTGGGGTTGCTTCCACAAGATGCAGCTAAATCCGAGCTTGCTGCAGAAGCACGAAGGGCCAATATACGGGTTTGATAACCAGCCCGTCCCACTGGAAGGAGTTATTACCCTTCCTATATATGTGGGCTCAGAACCGCGCTTCAGGATGGCGTCGGTCACCTTCCTGGTCGTTAAGATGGAATCAGCTTTCAATGCTATATTGGGAAGAGCCACCCTGTGCGAGCTGAAGGCTGTTGTTTCACAGCC